ACTTTGTGGAATGGTCTACCTTTGACTGTTAGGCTGGCGCCTTCCTTCCAGATTTTTAAGTCACGTCTGAAGGCCCATTTGGGTCTGCAATTTTGTCTTGATTTTAATAATTGAACTATTGTTCTCATCTGTTTTTAATGCTGTTTTAATTTTGTATAGTTTTTATTGATGCGATTGCCCGTTTGTTGTTGTGTTCAACACCTTGGGCTTCTGCTAAAGGTTGTGGAAGGCGCTCTATAAATGTGAGAAAATGAAATGAAATAAATGAAAATAAATTTACATTGGCCACTTTTTAAAAAGTCATTAATTAAATAATATAAATCTATGTTTGTAACAATCAAGAGGTCCAATATTGTATCAAATAGAGCTTTTTTGTTTTAGTTTCCAGATTCTGTGCCTTTGATGCCTGAATAAACTTAGCATTTATTTATGTTACAGTAAATATTTCAACCGCTCATTTGAGTCCGAGTCACAGGGACAGCCGCCATAGCAAGGAATCCTTAAGTATCTTCCTCCCAGCAACCTCCAGCAGCTTCTTTAGTGAAACCCCAAGATCTTCCCAGATCAGAATAGAGTTATAATCCCTCCAGCACGTCCTGGGTTGACCTGGGGGCAACATGAGAGCAGGGCATGCCTGAACATACAAGAATGGAGCTGAGAGCGGGGCTGTGAGGGTGGGGGCAGATGTGTGACATCCATCAAACTCTGAGCTATTGACAGATCCACGGCACACTGTCACTTAACATTCATGGACTCATCCATTTTGACTCGCCACGGGGAAAGCTGTTGTTGGTTTAGCATCCAGGGAACAGCAGAGAACGTCTGGGCTAGTAGAAGTTAACTGTTGGCATTAGCAACTCCACCACACAGCAGAACTCCTTCATGCTTGTGTTATTAGAATGGTGTTGCTTGGCAGGGGCTTTGCTGTTACAGTCTCCCTGGGGTCCCTGCGCTCTGGGGCAACTCCTGGATCTCTGAGACTTGGAGCTCCTTCCATCTCCTACACATCTTTAGGGGGCAGATCTGTGGCCCCTCACACTCTCTATTGGACGCTCCTATAGAGAAACCTTACATATAAGCACGTGTACACACACAGGTGCTCACATGGTGCTCTCATAAGTATGGACATGGCACGTTCAACACATGGGGCGACGGTGGCACAGGAGTTAAGAGCTCGCCCCGTAATCGGAAGGTTGCAGGTTCGAGCCCCGCTCAGGCTGTCGCTGTCGTTGTGTCCTTGGGCAAGACACTTAACCCACGTTGCCTGCTGGTGGTGGTCGGAGGGACTGGTGGCGCCAGTGCTCGGCAGCCTCGCCTCTGTCAGTGCGCCCCAGGGCAGCTGTGGCTACATTGTAGCTCATCACCACCAGTGTGTGAATGTGTGTGTGAATGGGTGAATGACTGATTGTGTTGTAAAGCGCCTTGGGGGGTTTCAAGAACTCTAGAAGGCGCTATATCAAATACAGGCCATTTACCATTTACCATTTACCATGTCTTAAGGCTGTGGTTGGCACTTAATGCACTGTGATTTATTATTGTTTGATTGTTCAGTAAAGCAATGCTGATTTTATATTTCCTCATCAGGTTGACGCTGTGATAGCTTGCTCCCGTTGTATTGTTGTGTGTCCCTTTTCTTTTTTTTCTTTCTCCTTTTGCAGGTCTAGAAGCAGACTCTTGTTCATCATTGATTGTTTATTTTGTGCCCCCCACCCCCTCCTTTTGTCTCTTCCTTTCTCTTTCACCTCTGTCTCCGTGTCTTGTCGGAATTACAAAGCGTTCAAAAAACAACAAAGTTTTAAGCATCAAGAGTGAGATTAAAAGCAGAAGTAAGGCAGATCTGTAAGGCTTGTCACCAGCATTCAGATATTAATTCTGTTTGCTTCACAGCCAGACAGGACACGGGAAAAGAAAAAAAAAAGGAAAACAAAAAGAATGGTGTTGTTATCAAATCCGAGGCGAGATGTCCGAATAGGTCTCCAAATCCTCCCTCTGAAGCTCAACTCTGATGTGGCAATTTTCTATTTCCTGAAACTGGTGTGTCAGAGCTTTTTCCCCCAGAGTGCAACTTTGCAAATCATTCTGCAAATGTACCTGATTAAGAAGGTGTTCCACTTTAGACCTAAAATGTTTTTTGAACCAGGAGGTTAAAATGCGTATTTCCGCTGTTAAGTTGGCCTTTTTAACATGGGAGTTAATGTGAACTTGCTCCTTTCTAGAGCCAACCCCTAGTGGATGAGGGGGGAACTGCATTTTTTGTCACTTCCGTATTTAGCAGGCAGACTTTCTCCCTTGTCTGAGATAAAAAAAGAAACAACACAGTTTCCTTTTAGAACACAGTTTAATAAATTAGGCCATTTTTAATACAAATGAAAACTATAAAAGTGCAACAGTTAAAAGACTGAAACCTCATCAGCTGTGGAAGGCTATACAAGACAAAACATACTACAAGGATCATAAAAAATCATATCAAAGATAAAAAATTATGAGAAAATTCCTAGATTGAGTCACCTAAAGTCAACAAATAGTCTGGTTTAAATTTTTAATCTCCTGTCTCACCTTTTTCTTTTCTAATTAAACCTATTAACATCCCACGTGTCCAGCCATATCTCCCTCTCCATCATCTCTGAGAACTCCTTCACCTCTTTATTCAGTGTGAAATGAGAACATTAAGACACATCTGCTAATGTGGTGAAGAAAAGGGCCTCTGGCACTGCTGACTCACTCAGCAGTTCTCATCAGCATGTAAAGTCTGTGGTAATAAAGATCTATCAGACAGTACATTCTATAATCTCACACAAGTACAGATGTGCGCCTTTATAAATTTAGGAGTGGATGGACCTTTTATTCATTCATTATAAGCTGTTTAAAAAAATGCAGTTTTTATATGCTGATGAATATATGAGAAAAACGTTTTATAACCATAATGACTCATAAAAATAATCTCCCACATTGGAGCAAGACTGAAGGAGGAGACAAAACAACAACAACAAATGCTCTATTTATGGCTGCAGCTTTGATGGTGGGATAAGAGTTAGACATGAGAGTGAAGGAAATGACGTGCTTCTCTGAGTGATTCATTAACAATTCCTGACAAAGTTGGGTTTATTAAAGCCAGACAAAGGATCTTAAATGGGTCTGATGGGAGTTTACAGTTGCAAAAACACCTGTTCAGGTATGTCAGATGTTCTGCTTGGTTTAGATGTGAGAGGACAGTTGGAATTCAGATGCTGAACCAAAACAAAACACTATATTTGTACGTTCTTGTGAAATGAATTTGCTAAACAAACAAACCTGGCGTATTATCCTTAGATTACAGTTCTAATGGAAGCTATGAAAGGAATTTTGTTAACCAGTTGAAGGGGTGGTAAAAAAAATATTAGACACACTGTAGTTTTAGACAGTTTTGGTAAAGTTGAGCTTACAAACACTTGGTTAGGTTAAAAAGGAAGTTTACTCATATTTTTAACACATTTGCAGTTATCTGTAAGAATTACTTGTAAGTTGCTCCAGTGCGCCTGTTTTAAGAACATAGAAGTCAGCCAGAGAAGAAAGTAGCTTCAGACTGCAGGATTTGACTCATATTTACGGATATTCGTACATTTCTCCTTTGATTGGCTAACAGAAAAGCGACTCTTCCACTGAACGATTGCTCTGCACTGTTGATGTTTTATCTCCACAAATAACACAAGCCTGAAGTAGTTATTTTGTGTTGTTGAATTGCTAATGCTAATGGTTAGCTTCTACTAGCCGAGACGTGCTCTGCTCTTTCCTGGACACTTAGCCAACAACAGCCTTCCCCGTCGCGAGGAGAGAGGAGTGAGTCCGTGAATGCTAAGTGATACGTTGATGTTTTTCTGTCTATTTTCCAGAGACGGGGAATTGTGGCATCAACAAGTCATCTCCATGCCATGTTTTTCTTCTGCTCAGCAACTAAACCAGGTGATTTCAATCAGTTCAGTGAATTAACCTGGTTCAGTTGCTGAGCCGAACAAAAACACGGCATGGAGATGACATGATTCCCATCTCCGCTATTTTCTATGAGAACATAGGGGCAGAAGACTGTGTTCACGGTCAGCCTGCATGTTAAACACAGAGTGGCCAACCATTAAAAAAAAATGGTAAAAAGTGTTTTTTCAGTGAACTTGCTCTTTTCCATAGAAGTGAAAGTTTGGTTAAGTTTCAAATAATATTAAAAGGGACATATTATGCTAAACTCACCATTTGCCCCTTTTTTGCCATGTGGGTCTGCCTCGATAAACACTTCAAACGTAAAAAACCCAACTATCCATTCATTTTCTGTTGGTGTTTGGAACTACTACTATTACTCTGAGCGCAACCCAGATAGCAGAGCTTTTCAGCTTATAGCAGCCTGCGGAAGGATGGGTGGGTGTGGCCAGCTAAAGCTCATTTTACTTAAAGTAACAGAGCCCTCAAATGGCTCATTCTGGAAGGTACTGAAATTTTCAACAATAAACGGCTGAACTAGCTTTACATGAGAAGGATTTGACGCTTCATAAACGTGTTTTATATCAACCATAGAGCTACTATATCTTTCTAAAATGTTTTCTTTAGTCCCGCAGACACAACTCAGTTCTGATAATGGATTTTATGACTGGGAGGTTTTTTTTCTGTATTAAAGGTAAAGAGAAACAAACTAAGCAACAAATAAATTCTGTAACTATGCAGCAGAGGCTGTGGACTGGTTGTAAATGGCCTTTTCTCTGTGCGATGTCATATTTATGATGGTTCATAATGTAAGCAGATATGTAAAACATGTTTTTCTTTGTTTTAAATTATTTTAAGTCATAGAAATAAAATTGTGTTGCTTTTCTCTAAATAATTAACAAATCACTTTAAAACTTGTTCTAATTGTGTCGTGCCATGGTGTTCCTCAAAGGTACCAATCAGATGTTGTTTAAATAGACAAATGCAATTTATGTAAAAGCTCTAAAAATGTATTGATATGATTTTTCTCTTGTTTTTTTTATTTTTCTTAACAGGAACAACTGGGACTATATCTCTGTTGGCATTTAGCACTCATCTGAAAGTCTTGACAAGAGCCTTGTGATATTTGTGGAGACTTCAAATATTTTGGATTCCACTCGACCGATCATCCAAAGTCCCTCACCACCTATATAGGTAATACTATGTGAGCACGTAAATGTTACCAGATCTAACCAATTCTATTTTTTTTTTTGATGAAGTCAGAGAAATGCTCTACCTGTCATCATCACAGCAGCCATGTGCTTATTGTGCATGTGATTTAGAAAATCCAGACACACCAAAAAACCTGAGATGGCATGCACCTAATCCTGCTCAGACTCACTTTTTTTCATCTTGAGCCTTTGAGATGTGATGAATGTCTGTCAGAATGAGAGAGCAAAGTAACATTTACTGCGAGAGAGACAAAAAGAACGGCTGCAGCCTCCACAAATGAAATGGCGGTGTGGGCGGATGTACATGCGAGTGCAGGCTGCTAGGAGCAATGAGTGGGAAGAGGAGAGCTGCTTTAGTGAGACAATCAACACTAAGACCCACAGAAAGGCAGTCACGCTTTCATGACTGCCTCTGTTTTCTGTGAGAGGAGAAAAACAAGGTTACAGGTATTCGGTCTTGATTAAGAAGAAGAGACTGCATGAGGGTCAGCTGGTGGAGTTTCTAAAACTGACGTTATTTTAAAACACAATAAATTCCACCAACTAGACTTGAGCAAATATTACATAATGTGATAAAAAGCAGGAGTGAATCTACTGACTATTTGATTGTCTGACACTAGTTTGTGTAACTATACGACTTAAATCCCGGTAATGCGTATCTTGGCTTTGATGTCACGGTTTGGTTAATCTTCGGTATGCTGAGGGAAAAAAAAAACTATTCATGGTAAATATCTACTTATCTTTAGTTAAAGTCCCATTAGTTGTCACACACACAGGTGTGTGTGCAAAATTTGTTCTCCGCATTTGACCCATCCCCTGGGGGAGCGGTGAGCTGCAGACACAGCCGCGCTCGGGAACTATTTGGTGGTTTAACCCCCCAATCCAACCCCTTAATGCTGAGTGTCAAGCAGGGAGGCATTGGGTCCCATTTTTTTCAAAGTCTTTGGTATGACCCGACCAGGAGTCGAACCTCTGATCTCCCAGTCTCAGGGTGGACACTCTACCACTAGGCCACTGAGAAAGGAAATTAACTTTAAGTGCAACTTTAAAATTCCAGCTCAACTTTCATGTTTTTGCTAGAAATGTTCATTTTTATACAATGTCTACTGAAAGGACAGATCTGTGTGTTATAATGTAGAAAATGTCCTCTCTCTAGAGGTAGCGGTAGCTTGTGTAGTTTTAATGTGTGTTTAGCGTCATCATGGTTGCTAAGCGACAGGGCATATGCTGAGGTAACACCATCCAGTTTTACCGCCGTTCACTTCCGGTCTTCCTGTTCAACAGATGACCTGTCTGATACTGACACCAGCCTATGTCGAATGGGGGAAGCCAGATCTTAAAATGATTCAGCCACTAAGTTTGGACACAGGCACTTTTGTTGATTGCTAATAGCTAATTGGGACAGCAGTAGCTCAGGTTGTCCAGTAATCGGATGGTTGCAGGTTTGATCCTGGCTCTGACCAGAGAATGCTGCTGTGTGTTCCTGGTTTTGCTAATCCGCGGAACCCAATTTTTTTTATTACTTCATTTTACTTCCTTTTTTTAAAAACTTGTTTCCACACTGAAACCGTCACCCCTGTTTTCCACCCTCCTGGCATTACAACCCATCCTCCCAGCTGTTCTGCATGTTGCCATCTTAATAAATTCACATGTTGTTTGCTAAAGCTCTTCATTTTGCCCATGTACTTTCATCTGGCCCCACCCCATGGACAGACGCTCAGTCATACAGATTATGTGCAAGATATATATGATTAATAAACTGATAATCCATATAGCAGTGGCTAAAACTAAACACGATCTGAGTCATTAGCGAGAACCACGAACACAACATCAGCCTCTGTTCATGAGCAGCTGTAGGTGGGATGACCAAGAACACATCACCAGTCCTGTGCTCATGCACAAATGACAGTTGGGTAACCAGCAGCACATCCATTACCTCAGTGTGCATGCACAGGCGTTATGCATAATCAGACAGTGGTGTAATTATCAAGAAACTCTGAGGTGTTTTGCAAGTTATTTGCTGATTGGGGAAAGAACCAAATGGAATTTAGCCAGAGAAAAATAGATATAGGTAATTGCATTAATTTAAAAGTTTTTGCTGCACTGGCACAAGGCTATAAGTATAACTCATAGGGTGTTTGGTTTTATTTTTATTTTTAGCTTTGTTTAAATACACTGATTTTAGAGCAGAATATAATTGTTGATTCAAATATGTGACAACTGGGGGGCTAAGACCCAATGTTGACATTTGGACCTTAAATATGAAGAACACTTTTTTTAATTCATTGATTTTTTTCAGACTGTTGCTGTTGAACACGCTTGAGGTTCATTTGAAAAGAACGGGGGGAAAAAGTCATGTCACTGCAAACTGGTGCTAAAGTACATCAATGTGTGCTGCAGTATAGCACCAGTGTGAAGAGGACAACACATTATACAAAACAATTTCACTTTTTGATTATATCTTTTTATTATTGTATATTATTACATGTTTGGATTCATACTCCTTAGAGGTAATGATACGTTTTGTCTTCCATATGTTATCCCTTTGTGTAAAATCCAAATCTGTTTGATGTAAAAGCCTGAAGTGGCGGTTCACTCAGAAAAGTAAAATTCTTTTTTATATGAATGGTCTGAGTTTCACATGCATGCAGAAAATGAGAATAGTCTTTAAACCCTATGTCCTGCTTTAGCTGCTTAGAGAAAATGAAGAGGGAAACACTGAGGTCCGAAAAAGCCACACATGTCGATGTCACACTGTGAAATTAGCATTCATGGACACGCCCACCTTGGCCTGTGTTGATTTTGCAGCGAGGAGAGAGCAGAGAGTGTCTTGGCTAGTGGAAGCTAACCATTAGCATTAGCAACTCCACAACATGCTTGAGTTATTCAAGGAGATAAGACATCAACATTGCTTTTTGTTACCCAACAAAGAAGAGCAAAGAGATGCAGCGGAAGAGTCTTGTTGCTGTTAGTCAGTCAGAGGCGAGATGTCTCATAGCATATCATGCATATTAATAAGACTTCAAATCTCGCTGTTTTCCGCTCTCTCCTCTTTTTAACTCCTACTTACTGAAAGCCGTTTTTCCCCCAAAGAAAACAACTCATTCATACTAAACTCTCAGCAAATTTGTTGAAATAATGATTGCAGCCATGATCAAATCAACAAACCACTCTACTCCATGCCTTATTTTGAGAAGTTACAAAGGTGTTCACCATTACGTCTTCCTGTAAATTTAGCCAAAGATTATCAATAAAGAAGACAGTTTTAAATTATTTGCCCTGCTAAAAAAATAAAAGAATCATTGAATAGTTATTCCATGCCTGCATGTGTGTGAAGGCCCTCTGCTGGCTTGATGTTTGCTGTACATGCAAAAGAACTGTCTTAAACTTTCACATACAGAACAACAAGAATATTAACAAGAAAATATGAATCTGCATTTGTATTTCTTATCCCTCCCATGCCAGCTTACATCAGAAAGAAAATTTCACATTTGGGCATATTTTCTAAAAACATGTACACAGTCCCACTTGGAGGCACAAGATCTTGCATCCCTAGCCCCTCAGGCCCCTGCCGCGATATGGCCATCGGAGGCCTGCAATGCAGCATGTGTGACTCGCACTCACACACTCACACACGCCATGAGATGGCGGCATGTAAAGTGCTCCGCTCGTAGGAGGGAGACAAGGCAATAGAGAGCGCTGTTTTGAGAGTGCTGAAGCCTGATGAAAGGTGGAGGAGTGAGTAGGAGGAACATTAGTGGTGGGAGGTGGAGGTAGGTGAGGATGAGGAAGAAATAACTGGTGGGAGGAAGGTTTTGATGTGCTAAGAAATGCAGCTGGAGGAGAAGCAGGTAAGAGCTATGAACATGACAAATTGTCTTCTTAATTGTCTCAGTGGTCTGGCAGGAGTTTTAATGGTTGACGTATTCATAGAACGAATCAACCTCAGGCCATTTAGGACGAACAGACGTTGTGTGTCAGTCGATTGAAGATCGTTCTAAAAACACTCCCAACATAGAGCTTAACAGATCATTTTCAGGGACATTCTCCTCAATGTCGCCTTTTCATTTTGCATTGCTAATTGCTGTTATACATTGAAAAGATGTTATGCAAGAACAGCCTGTAATTAGCCGTCAGTCTACTGGCAGTTTGTTGTGCCAAGATAATTTGTCAGTTGACATAAAAACTAAACCAAACAAAAATAAACAAACAATACAAACTTCATATCTGTAACCATGGTGTGAGTAGGATCGATTAAATGTTGGCTGTCAAAAAGTATTTTAACGTTTATCTTATTTCGTTTTGACAATATATTTTTTTCCTCCATGACGGACATTCTTTTCCATGCTCTAATGTGAGAAGTGCAAAATAAAAAGAAAACTTCAAACATTTCCCTTTTAATGGATTGAGATTTCATGTTCTTAGACATTTCTTCTTTGCAGTACTTTAGTTTCAGTGGCGGCTGGTGAAAACATTCATGGTGAGGCTATGTTTCCCTTCAGAGAAGAGATGGAAAATGACTACAATTCCAAAACAATCATTTATTTCCCTTTTTCAATTAAGGGGGATTTAGGCAGTTTTGGCTTGCTTTTTTCATCCCTTAGTGTCCGTTAGTAGACACGAAAGCAAAATCTATCTCCTTGCGGTGCGTTCATTTTTTAACACCTTAATTTAACAGCTGAAATGTCTCCCCAGCCTTCATTAATGTCTACAGGAGTAATTAATCTATAAATTAAACAAACCACCTGTGTTTATAATCTAAAACATGCAAGAAACATGCTGGAATCAGACTGCAGCACCAGGTATGTCACCTCAATCTCCCAACAGAGCGGCCCGTCAGTCTGAAGTTGCAAGTGGATTATTCTGGCTGCAGGGGGTGAAAGAGGCTGGGTAGCCTTTCATTAACCCTGTAAAGGGTCATTTTAGGACATACTGGCTCAAGAAAACAATTTAAAAATATGAAACATTTGCAAAGTATCCCTT